AAAAAGAAAGAAAGAGGAAAAAAGAAGAATGTATGTTGGTAATTATATGAATCAACTTTCTTTTGCACAGACTTATACCTAAGAATTGAGAGACTGAATATAGAAAGACGTTGTCTGGAGAATAAGAAATGGTGTCTTATTTTGGGGCTTTGCAGCCATTGCTGGGTCCAGAGCCAGGGAACACTGCTGTTCTGGGCAAGTGGGTGCAGTGGCTCACATCTGTAAACCCAGCACTTTGGGAGGCTGGCAAGAGGAACAATTGAGGTCAGGAGTTGAAGACCAGCTTGGGCAACATAATGAGACCCTGTGTCTACAGTTGTTGTTGTTTTTTAATTAGCCAGGTTTGGTGGTGCATACCTGTAGCCCCAGCCCTACAGGAGGCTGAGGCTTGAGTCTAGTAGTCAGAGGCTGCAGTGAGCGATGATTGTGCCACTGCACTCCAGCCTAGGCAACAGAGTGAGACACTGTCTCCAAAACTAATGATGATAGTAATAATATCTATCATATAGAGTTATCATAAACCCAACTGATGTAAGTCACCTTTGTTTGGCATTTTTTTTCCAAAGCACTTTCTGAATGTGTTATTATTGCTCATACTCTCTCCATCAACACCCTGTGTTCTCAGAAGATTATAACGCTGTATTCTACCTGCCTCTCAGTTCCTACTCATCTTCTCTGCTCCCAGGGGCTGTAACAGGTTTGCATCCCCGTGATATCTGATGAAGAAGAGCATTCACATCTGCCCTGAATACCACCAATGCCCGGCTTCCGAAACAGAGAAAACGTGTTCCTGACTTCCCACACCCTGACCACACATGAACCCTGCTCCCACCCCCATTCATAGTAACTCCAAATTTCCTTACAGATGCAGTGAAGGGTTATTTTACTTCTAAGGTCTGTTGTGGCCATTTCTACTTCAGGCCATTTGACTTTTGCTGTTGTTGTTTTTCCAGACGCCCAAATTCATTTCTGTCTTCTGTTTTGACATTGTCAACTGTCGAAATTTCCTCTTCATGTGTTTTCTCTTTAGAATCCTTACTTGGATCTTACATTTTTTTTTTCTCCTGGAAGACATTTTTCCCTTGGGGCCACAGAGCAAAATTAAATGAGAAGTAAATTGTTATAGTCAATTGCCTTAGAGAAATTTTCAGTAATCCCTCGAGCACTAGAGATAGAAATGACTTCAGTGTTCACGTAGTCTGTTGAGACTCCGTTTTTCACCCTTTTCTTATCTTCTCACCCATGGGTCAGATGCTTTGGGAAAAACATGATCTCTTTGGGAAACAGCACTTTTAAGTAAAAGGGTGATTTAGCTTTACCTGGGTTTTTTTTTTAAATATACTTTGATTGTAGCAAAATGTAAGTAACTATTGACCAACATTGCAAGTCAGTGTGAAGTAAACAGTGTTTTCATGTGGAGTTAAGATAATTCCCTCTAAATGTAGAGAAGCTTGGCATTTGGTTAGTGTTATTAGCATCATTACTCTTAATATACAGGCTTTCTGTTAGATCTGAAATATGCTGCATAGCTTGAGAAGCTGAGTGTCACTTTCACAAGTTCCTAAACGTCCTAGAGTCTAGGTGGAGAGGAATCAATCTAATCTAAACCCTTCTTATTACAAGGTGAAAATAAAGAAGTACCATCACTTGCCCGAAGTGGTCAGACCTGAGATTAAAATGCTGCATTCCTAAAGGCTATTCGTAGTTGTTTCCCACATATCTTGAGATGATGTCTTATTTTTCAGCATTGTAGCCGTTACTGGGTCTGGAGCCAGGGAGTACTGCTGTTCTGGTCAGGGTAAATATCGTGGTGGGCTTTTATCAGGGGCTTTCCCCATGTTCTAAATGCTTTACAGATGCAAGTGACTTTTCATCTTCACAAGCCCTGAGGAAGGCAGGAGTTGTCACTGTCCCCGCTTCGCAGAGAGGCAAACAAACAGAGATTAAGTAACTTGACTGTGATCACACAGCTGGTACTTGACAGAGACATGGCTGGGAAAGTTGATCTTCTGTGACACTGTAACCCGGCTCCACAGCATCCCTTCGGAAGACGGTAGTGAGCATCTGCGAAGCACTGGGGGACAGGGACACCTTCCCCAACACAGAGCAGGATCTACTGGGGGAGTCAAATGTGTAGGCCACGTTTCTTAAGGCAGCCTGGTAAGTGGTAAGTGATACCATAGGCCTATGCCTGGGCATGGGGAGGGATCCCTGGCATCTCCTGGTAGAATGGGGCTAGGTGA